ACGCGCCTTCCTTCCATTTCTGGGGAGTGGGGTTTAACCTTTATACCAGGAAACACCTCTATGGGCGTCTTAACATGAGAACATGCCTCGAACACATTCACTGCACACTGTTGCACGTTCTGTGGAGGAGACCTGTTCAGGTCTGTTCCTACCACTTTAGGTGAGGGTGGTTGGATGAGTCTAAAAGCACCAGGTGAGTAAAAGATCTTTGGAGGTTTTGGTGTATTATCCCGACACTGTTTAAGGTCTTCTCTGGATTCCATACCACCTCGCCCCTCGTCATTACTTTTATTTGTTGCTGCTCTTAGTTTCTCCTCACATGTTTTTAAACGTTCCTGGGATGTTTGGTAATCACTTTGTAAACGCTTATATAGCCCCAGTAATGCTTTTTTATCCACTCTGAGTTCTTCCAGATCTTTTTTAAGCACATCTATTTCACTTTTGCAGCGGGAAACTTGTGACATTTTCTCGTCGTGATCCCGTCTTAATGCAAAGTATTCACTGGACAACAGCTCTTTAGCATCCCTGGCTTCAGATAGTGATGCATTAAGTAACTATATTTTGCTATTCAGCGAATCAATTTCTGCATTTGCATTTTGCTGTAAGTGAAACATCTGTTCATAATGTTTTAAGAGGACCTCGTTTTCGCTCTCAAATTGAAGGAAGTGTTCTTCAATTTTCTGAACCACCTCTTTTTCACTGTCTAACCTTATTGCAAGGTAATCAGCTTTCTCAACAACTGTATAGAATGATTCTTTCAGCAAAATTGCAATTTTAGCCAGCTTTTCATAGTTTGACCTTTTAATTTCTGTAGAGGTAACACTCTCTGCAACCTCCATCAGATTGTCCAATAACTCTTTTGGGTTCATGCTGTCCGCCTGTTTGCCATATGGATGTAAGGATGCTGTCAGCAGCTTCAACGCATATTCTAAACAGCCCTTCATCCCATAAGGATCAAAATCTTTTTCTAACACACCTGTCATGGTTATTCACTGTTCAGCACTTATCTGTGTAAAACAATTGCCAGCTTCAGATATTTTTACAGGTAAATAATTGTATTCAAATGTCAATGAGTTTCACACTATTCTAGCTTTGGGTTTACACAAAAGTACTGTTATAAGTCACTTATTCAAATGTGGGTACCTATTTGTAGGTTTTACCCCAATTCATGAATATTTAAGTAAATGCTTCTATGCAGTGTTACTCTTTATGTGCTTATTTCTTAACAGATACTAGATTACCAAGCTCTTTTTTAGTGTATTTTACTCTAAAGCACTGAATTTTTATAAACCTGCAATTTTTCTTTTTAGTCTCACAGCAACATTAGTTTAAAACGTTTTTTAAACCGTTTACTTCCAGAAATTCGCTATTTTAAACAGTTACTCATCAACCCAGGTGGGTGAAAAGAGAAAAGAAAATTGATGATGTGTCAGGATTAATCAGTCTTTCTTCAGAAAAACTGTTATTACTCCTGTTCTCCTGCCAATATCTTCTATTTAAAATTAAATAGGAAGATGTAGTTTTTAGGTGGTAACTTAAACAGAAAAGTTTATTTTTCCTGATAAGTTTACTCTTATTTAGTGATCTAGCAATTAAACGTGTATTATCTTTCCAGCAAATGAGTAAACTTTTATCTCTGTGAATATCTGTGACTGTGTCTACCAAAAGTTCTCATTTTTTCATTTTGCACCTGCACACTTTTGATGTCACATCACTCTTTACGTGCATTCCTGTTGAGGATGCAGTAGAGGTGGTCAGTTTAAGATTAAAATCAGACACCACTCTGAGCAGCAGGACCACGCTTTCCACAGAACAACTGTGTCAACTCTTGAAACTGTGCCTGCAGTCAACCTACTTCACATATGGGGAGCAATATTATAGGCAGAAACCTGGGTGTGCTATGGGGTCTCCAGTTTCTCCTATTGTTGCCAACCTGTACATGGAGGAGGTAGAAAAGAGAGCCTTGATGTCCTTTTCAGGGACACCACCAAGTCATTGGTTCAGGTATGTTGATGACACCTGGGTTAAAATTAAATCTCAGGAAGTCCAACATTTTACTGACCACATCAACTCTGTGGATAAATACATCAAGTTCACACGAGAAGATGTAAAAAATGGCAGGTTGGCTTTCGTGGACTGTGAGGTCTCAGTTTCTGATAGAGGACATTTGCAAACTGAGGTGAACCGCAATCCCACCCACACAGACCAGTATTTGTAGTTTGACTCTCATCACCCTCTGGTGCACAAGTTAGGAGTCATTAGGACTCTGTACCACAGAGCAGACAGTGTCCCCACTAACTCAGGAGCCAGGCAGAAGGAGAAATCCCACACAAGACAGACTCTGGAGCAATGTGGATATCCTAACTGGGCCTTTCTGAAAGCAGAGAAGAAACCCAAACAGGACTCCAGCCAGCCATCAGATGAAAATGAGGAACTCAGACCCAGACCAGTAGTCATTCCATATGTTGCGGGAGTTTCAGAGAAACTGAGATGTTTATTTTCTAAACATAACGTCCCAGTGGCTTTTAAACCCCAAAATGCATTATGGCAAAGACTGGTTCATCCCAAAGATCCAGTCCCCCGGCACAAACAGAGTAATATTGTGTATGCTGTTCAGTGTCAGGAGGGCTGTGTTCAGTCTTACCTCGGGGAAACTAAATAGCCACTAGCCAAAAGGATGGCCCAGCACAGAAGAGCAACATCATCAGACCAGGACTCTGCGGTCTACACTCATCTCCAGGCCAGTGGTCACTCATTCAGGTATGAAAATATTCACATCCTTGATAGACAGGAACAATGGTTTGAGAGAGGAGTAAAGGAGGCCATCTTTGTGAAAAGAAACCATCCATCATTAAACAGGGGTGGAGGTCTCCGGGTTCAACTGTCCCCCTCTTACAATGGTATTATTGCTAGTATCACTCAGCCCCCTGTGAATAGCAAGCAACCATCAGGGTGCTAAATCCATTGTTAAGCTGATGGTCCTCCTTAATCATGTGAACAGCTAGTTTTGGCTGTCAACACCATAGCAAACTATTAGAAGGTGTTATTTATAAGACTGAGCTGAATACAACTCGTCAGACTGAAGAAGCCTTTTGAATGAAAGACGAAACATTTCTAAATATTTTTGTTTTTTTGAACATCCAGAGGACCTGACTTAACTTTTTAAAATAATAATAATAATAATAATAATACATTTTATTTATATAGCGCTTTTCTAAATACTCAAAGACACCTTAAACGAGTAAAAAATAAATAAATAAATAAAATCAACAATGCATAACACATAGAAACAGAGTAAAACATTAAAAAGGGCAAATTTAAACATTAAAAGCTATTTTAAACAGGAGGGTTTTGAGTTCTTTCTTAAAAGTGGAGAGATCGAAGAAGGCACAAAGCTGTTGGGGCTGTGAGTTCCAGAGGTTGGGGGTAGCGATGGAGAAGGCTCTGTCTCCCCAGGTTCGGAGCTTGGTCCTACAGGGGAGAGACAGAAGTTTTGGCATTGGAGGAGCTGAGGGAACGAGAAGGAGTGTAATAATGGAGTAGGTCGGTCAGGTAAGGAGAGGCCAGATTATGGAGGGCTTTGAATGTGATGAGGAGGATCTTGAAATGGATGTGCTGAGTGATGGGGAGCCAGTGGAGTTTCTGCAGGACAGGAGTGATATGTTCACGGGAGCAGGTGTGGGTGAGAAGGAGGGCAGCAGAGTTTTGAATATATTGCAGTTTGTTGAGTTTTGGATGGTGTACCATACTAAATGCTATTCCAATAGTCAATTATGGATGTGACAAAGGCATGGATTAGGATTTCAGCAGTGGAGAAAGTGAGTGATGGGTGGAGTCGTGCTATGTTTTTGAGATGGAAGAATGCAGTCCAAGTTATCTGTTTGACATGTGATTCAAATGAAAGAGTGAAGACGAGAAGAATACCAAAATTACGAATGAGGGGTGATGGAGTGAGAAGGATGTTATCAAAGTTGAGGCAGAAGTTTTGAGTGGACTTGGTAACACTGTTTGGACCAATGACGAGTATTTCAGTTTTGTCAGTATTTAATTTGAGAAAAATGTGCCTTATCCAGATTTTGATGTCAGTTAAGCAAGTTTTTAGAGCTTTACACTACAATTTGTGCCCTCAATTACCCATTCATACAGCACTCTACTAGATCTCTACAAAGCTAATTGAACAAATCATTCTAAAGATACTAATCAGCATTTTAGATCACATTCATACACAGATGGGACACACATCGGAAGCAATGAGGGATTCAGTGTTCTACCCAGGGACACTTCAGAATGTGACTGCTGGTGGAATTGAACTCCCAACTCTTGCATTGGAGGATGACTGCTCTAACCACTCAGCCACAGCTACCCTCACTCATCTGCTGTCCTTTGATTATTCAGCAAATGTGTCGATGTCACCACCACAAGGACTGTGAAGTGCTATCTGAAACAGTAACCCTGGCTGAATGCAGAGGTCCATAACCTGTTGAAAGCCAGGGATACTGCCTTCAGGCCTGGCAACTCACAGGAACTGGGGAGGACAAGGAAAGAGCAGCTGCTGGTATAGAGAGGGCCAAAGCAATGTACAGTATGCACAGAGGATCCAGGGACATTTCTCCTCACAAGACACACGGAGCATGTGGAGGGGCATTAAGTGCATGACAGACTATAAAAGCAGAGGTGCACAATGCCCTAAGGACCCATCACTGCCTTATGCTCTCAACAGGTTATATGCATACTTTGAAGACATGAACAGACAACCCAGCACCAGAGAACAATAGACAATCATATAAAAGGATGGTTATATAAAAGGTCATATAAAAGTGATTGATCCACTATGAGAAGGTGCTATTTATAAGACTGAGTTCGTTGTGGCTTCTCGTTCTGATGAAGTCTTTTGGATGAAAGATGAAACATTTCAACAAAAATAAACTGTCCAGAGGACCTGACCTAACTTTTTTGGGTTAGTTTGAAGATAACCTTTTTCTTACGTGTTTGTTTTGTAGATGGAGCCAGAGAGGAGGGAGAGAACAAGGTCCTACGTTTCCACAGTGGTCCGTGAAGGTGGTCCAGAGAAGGTGAGTGGTGTTGGAGAGAGGAACAGGCTGGTGGTGCTCGGTAGTTTATTGATCCAGGTTGATGTTTGGTAATTGTAGCTAGGAACAAGATGATGCCAGGGCGATGTCACAAGGGACGAGGAGGTCTTGGAAGACTCGAGGAAGCAGAACTTTGAAGTCACTGGAGAAAATTACAAAAGGTTAGTCAAACTGTTTGGAAACAAGTTTACCGGCTGTCCATTATTTACCATATGGTTTCATAATGTTCCAGCATTGAAAGAATGTCTAGCAGGAGCTTAAATAGTCTGCAGAGCAGTCTTCCAGATCAGGGGCAGGTGTGGAGATGGATGGTTACAATGAGTGGCAGATGTGGAGAAAGTGATTGTGGCTGGAAACCTATGAATCACACACATACAAGCAAATGTCTCCAAGACTTTCAATATACTTTGTACTGTATCTGAGCTCAGACTTCTTATCAAAGCTAGAAGTAATGGGTCTTTTTTTGTCTTATTTTCCAAAACAGAAGATTACTACAGACACATAAGCACTGTCAATTATAGTCCAATACTGTTTTCTTTATGTACTATATAGTGATAGTGTAATTCATTTCATTTCATTTCATTTCATTTATTTTATTCATTTCAAATTAAAACACAGGAAAAAACAATTTACAATCCATATGGATAAAAAAAGACAGAAAAGAAAATTTAAAATGAAAGGAAGCAGAAGAAGAAAAAATCTTATAATAACTGCCCCTTCTTAGACAAAAAATCAATACAAACAATCAATTAAAGCAATAGTCATTCATGAAAACAATTTTTCAACAACTAAACAATCAATGCAATTCATGCATTAGTCAACCATGAAACAAATAATCAACTTATAGTAATATAATGATTTTAAAAACATTTTATATTAACCAAATTACATATATCTTTGCAACATTATACTCTTAATTTTTTTCTTGAATACAGACATTGACTGAGCTGTTTTAACATCAGTTTCCAAACTATTCCATAGTCCTATTCCATGTATCAACGTTGACCGACCCTTTAAACTAGTTCTATATTTAGGTTTAACAAAAATATCAGTGCCCTTTAGATTATAACAACTTTTTCTTTTTACAAAAAGCACTTGAATATTTGAGGGCAGTGTATAATGACGTGCTTTATACATTAACAAAAGAATATTATATTCCACCAAATCATAAAACCCCAGCAACTTCATTTTACAAAATAATACACTAGTAGGATGATAGTAATGAGTTTTCGTTATAATTCTTAAGGCTCTTTTCTGCAAGATTAAAATAGACCTAGTAGTCGTTTTGCATGCTATGCCCCAAACATCAACACAGTATATTAAATGTGGTATTATAATTGTATTGTACAGCAAATACAAAGCTTTCTCATTCAATAAATCCTTTACTCTATATAGTACAGCTGTGGATTTGGATAATTTACTTTTTACAAGATTTATGTGCTGTTTCCAAGACAATCTGTCATCAATAACCACACCCAAAAACTTTGTTTCACTCACTCGACATATTTCAATATCATCGATTTTGAAAGGAACATCAGTAGTTGTCACTCTATTACCAAAAATCATATAATTTGTTTTATTAATATTCAATGATAACTTGTTTAAATTAAACCAAGTTTGTATTTTGACAAACTCCCTCTTAATTAACTCTAACATTTGTTCCAAATCAGTACCGGAATAAAAGAAAGTGGTGTCATCTGCGAAAAGAACACATTTTAGGATACTGGATACATCAATTAAGTCATTAATATATAAAATAAACAGCTTAGGACCAAGTACAGAGCCTTGAGGTACTCCACATGAAACATCACAGAGGCATGATCTTATATCATCTATCTGTACAAATTGTTTTCTGTCCTGCAAATAACTGCAGATCCAATGAAAAGCTGGTCCTCTTATACCATATTTATCCAATTTATCAAGAAGTAAGGTGTGGTCAATTGTATCAAATGCCTTTTTTAAATCAACAAAAACACTCACACAATATTTTTGTTGATCCACAGCTGTAGTAATGTGTTCTATCAACTCCATCAGAGCCATTGAAGTCGAGTTATTTGATCTGAACCCATATTGACTATTACTCAATATATTATGTTTTTCTAAAAAGAGGTCAAATCTGATTACAAATAATTTTTCCAAGATTTTCGAAAATTGAGGCAGCAAAGAAATGGGTCTGTAGTTGTTAAATTGACATTTGCTGCCATTCTTAAAAAGAGGGACTACCTTGGCTATTTTCATTCTGTTAGGAAATGTTTCTGTTGAAAATGACAAGTTACAAATATATGTAAATGGTTCAATTACACAACTCATTATTTCCTTCACAACCGTCATATCCATGTCTTCACAATCCCTTGATTTTTTATCAGCACATTTATTTACTACCATCATTATTTCTTCTTTGTCAGTTCCCTTTAGAAGCATACTATTTACACGACTATTTATTAAATAACTCACATTTGCATCAACATTTGGTATTGTTGCAGCGAGGTTTGACCCGACATTCACAAAATAATTGTTGAATCCATTTACAATTTCATTTTCATCGTGGATTTCCACGTTATTTTCAACAAAATATTTTGAAATACCATTTCCAACCTTATTTTTATTAAGAACAGAATTTAATACTTGCCATGTTGCCCTCATATTTCCACTACTTTTGTTTAATAATTTGCTGTAATATTCCCTCTTTTGTTTTCGTATAATCCCTACTAATTTGTTTTTGTACTTTTTATATTTGGTTTCTGTATCATGCGTTCTAGATTTAAGGAAACATGAATAGAGATTATTCTTTTTTTTACATGCATTTCTCAGTCCGTTTGTCATCCATGGTGGATCGACCTTATTTTTTATTTGTTTATTATTTATTTGCACACAATTTTTTTTGTACAGAACTTCTAGTATATTCATGAATTTTTCATAAGATATATTTACGTCGTCTACATAGACATCTTCCCAATTTTGTTGCTTAAGGTCATTTTTAAATTTATCTAAAGCTCTTTTGGATGTATTTATTGATCTTTTGTTTATTTTAATAGTTTTCTCACAAATATCATCATTGTTATAAGTTATAAAAATTGGTAAATGATCACTTATATCGGACATTAAGATACCACTTTTCACATCCCCATATATGACATTTGTAAAGAAATTATCAATTATTGTAGCACTATGGGATGTGATTCTAGTAGGATTTGTTATTAACGGAAAAAAACATATACCACTCATTGAATCAATGAAAGTTTTGTGGCTATTTGAATTTGTTTTGTTACCAAGATCAATATTAAAGTCACCACATATAAAAACATTTTTATTACTACTCTTTACTAGTAACTCAATTAATTTATCAGTGAATAACTCTATTCTTGAACCTGGTGCTCGATATACACAACTTATGATAAAGTTTTTACCATTTTTGTTTATTATTTCTATTGTTAACATTTCCATTATATTGTCGACTACTAATGACATGTCGCTGTACAATCTACACTTTATTTCACAGTTGACAAATAAAGCCACTCCTCCACCCCTCTTGTTTTTTTCTATTCATATAATAAAGTTCATAACCTTCTATGTAAACGTTTTGTATGTTTTCATCATTTAACCAAGTTTCAGATATTGCTACTATTGTAAAAGGTGTATTAAATCTTTTTAAGAATTCTGATATCTCAGAAATGTTTGCATTAAGACTTCTTGAATTAAAATGAATTATAGAGAGGGCTTCATTAGCTTTACTGATTTGGTTGAATTGTTCTACATTATAATATTGGCTATTCTGAATTATTGGAAAAATATTTCTATTAATGACATCATCTACATTGTATATTTTGAATTCTGATTCATTATTCATTATCATTTTTCAATGAAGTTTTTTGCCATGGTATTTAATTTATGTAGTATACTGTATGTACGAGATGTTTCATAATAAATTTCATAATAATCATTTAGGATTATTTTAATTTTTCCAAATCCTTTAGATCTTTTATCCACTTGGCTTGAGATCCGTCTCGTTCTTTAATCCAAATTTTTCCATTTCTTGACCAAGTAGAAAATATTTTGTTCCTTTTTTTAACACCCTTGCCTCACGAGCAATGGTGCCATTTTTCTTTGTTAAGTGTTCATTAATATAGACATTTGTTCCCTTTAGTTTTTTTGCCTGCATCAATAGATTATTCCTTGACTTTCTGTTAGTAAATCTTACCACTATTATAGGTTTGTTTTTATCCTTGTTACTAGGCAATGTGTGACAGGTCGAAATGTCATCATGATCAAGATCAATGTCTTTATCTTGAAAATAGGTGACCACTTGTTCCTCCAAGGTCCGAAGTTCTCGCTGAGATCCATCTTCAGTCATTTTTTCACCTGCAGCCACTCTTGCGTATGACTGAGGCTTAATCTCAAGTCCAGTTATGACTAGATTATCTAGTCTTGTGTTCTGTTCCAGATCATCTATTCTTTGCTCTAATTCCATTATTTTTTTTATCTTTATTTACTATTTGTAGTTTCAATTGCTTGGTTTCTTCAAACAAGCCCATCAAAAGATTCTGTTGGGAAGTCAGTTTAGCAAGTTCAGCGCTCATAAAATTCAAAGATTTTCTTATTTCATCCATATTATCCAAGTTCTGTTCAGTCTGCTCCTTTTTTTGTTTTGATTTATTTGACATTTTTAGACAAAAAAAGTTTGCGAGATGGCAGTGACTCCACTTACACAGACCACGAGATGATAGCTGCTTAGTCTGCTCCTTGGATCCTCACAGATATAGCAAAACAGCTACTCACACATCCACAGATGTAGGCAGACACCCGGCAGCCAGATCCAACAGCCGCTCCCCACATCCACTACTGACACCAACACAGACGGACACCTCGCCACTCGCAGTCTAAAGAGCAAGATCCATAGGACACGTCCAGCAAAGTTCGCCAGAATCTCTCCAGCTCTGGCCTGGTTGTAGCTGCTCCTGGGCCGCCAGAACGCTTTCGTTGCTTCCGCCTCCGTCAGCTACCAGCTGTAAAGTTGTTGTCTTTTTCTGTTCGGGTTGAAGCTTTGAAGTTGAAACAGCGTAGTACGATATTCTGGAAATATCCGCGTCACCCCTGAACGTCCCACCGCTCCTCCTCAAGATCAGTTTGTTTTTTATTCACA